TCAGACGTGGGGCTGCCTGCCCCCCACCCACGCCCCCAGCACTGTCCTGGGGACTGTGGCAGCGCAGGCTGGCTCACTGAGCAACCACTCCTCGTTGCTTGCTCTATTTCCATCACTTGGGACAGATGGCAGGAAGTGGCGGTGGGCGTCGTGTCGTGCAGGCCCTGAGGATTTGGCGGGGGGGAGGCTTTGGGGAGCCTTGATTCTCCACCCACCCCTGGGCACCTACAGATGCAGGCTAGGCAGCTCGCCTGGTGAGGGGGGAGCTGGGAAGGAGTCCCTGCCAACACTTGCACGAGCACACACATGCTGGAGCAGGGGAGGGAGGACTGGGTCATCGCTGCCCTGCGTCTTGACGGCTGCCACCTGGGCTAGGACACAAGCTCCCCACCTGGCCCATGCTGCCCAGGCGATGCAGGTGTCTCATTAACCCGGGGCGGGGCGGGGGCGCGGGGGGACGCGGCATGCTCACTGACGACATTCTCCTGTTGGAGTGCCCTTCCCAGGCTCTACTCAGTAATGAGAAAATAGTGACATTGACCCTCCAACCATTTATCGAGCTCTTGCTCTATGCCCGGGCTGTGCTAAGCAGGCTGATATAGGACTTCATTTACCTGGGAGGATGATGATGTTTCCCCCAGGAAAATGAGGAGACCATGGCACAGAGGAACTAGCTAACTTGTCCAAGGACACACAGCTAATGCATGAAGGAGCTGGGACTGAGCCTAGATCTTCCTGATGCAGAGCCAGGTTAACAGCCATCCCAGACCACCATCCTCTCCTGGCTGGAGCCATCCAGGACCAAATGGTGGGGATGGGGCTCCATGATAAGCTAGTGGGCATTTGTGTGTCCATGAGACTGCCCCCTGGCACTTTTGGTAGTGTCCCCCACCTCTACTCCAGGCCCCCACCGGTCAGCACAAGGCTCCGGCCTCAGGTGAGGGCCTGGCACAGGCTAGGAGTGTATCTAAGGTCCAAATGGGGATACTGAAGCTCGGAGAGGGGATGGACCTGCCCAAGCTCAAAGGGTCAACTGGGTGGAGTTGGGGGTAGAACCTGGCTCTTCCGGGGGTCACTGCTCAGAGTGTCCGTCTTGAGAGAAGATCTTAAACCAGAGTCAGGCTGGGCTGGGCACAGGGGCATGGCACCGGCAGCAGGTGGGCTCGGGTTTAGCCCTTGTTTGTCCTGGAGGCGGGGTGGGCAGTGGTGGGGGGCAGAGCTGGAGATGTGGCCCGTGAAGACCAGGGCCTGCTTTGCCTAGCTGAGCGCGGCATAGGCCCGTGCCTGTGGGGCTCGGGGGCTGCTGGGCAGAGACCTGAGGCAGGAAACCGGCCAACTGGGAGGTGGGACAGGCCCCCTCTGGGCTGACCTGCCAAAACTCAGCTTAGCTCCCCCTCTCCAACCCTGGCACCTGTGGGTCCCCTTGGTTCTCTCCCTGTCACGCGGCTGCTCTGTGGCATTCTAAGGACGTAGGCTGATCACAGCTGACAGATGCACCTGTTCAAGGGAAACATCAGTCAGCTGGGAATAGGGAGCTGGGGTGGGGGCACAGCACACAGTGACTGACGCCCCACTGTGCCTCCTTCCTGCCCCACCCCCCATCCCCGTCTGGAGGACCAGCTCAGGAAGACTTGCCAAGTTCTCTCTCCTCTTCCCTCTTTGCCTTGGAAACCAAGGTTGCCCCTCTCCCTCATAGAGGCCACATTCAGGGCTCCGCAGCTGCTCCTGGGCGTCACCAGAGATGCTTTGGAGTGGGACAGAGAGAGCAGATGGGCCCCAAGCCAGCCTGAATCAGCAGAGCACCTCCCACTCTCGTGGAGGATTTTAATAAAAGGGATCCTGAATTCAAAAGATGGGGGTCCTTTCCTTTGCAGCTCTGGATCTACAACCCGGAAAATGATCTGTGGCTGGCTCAAGGTCACATGGCTAAACAAGGGGACATGGCCAGGGATGGGGTGTGGTTCATGTGCTCTCACTAAAGGTTTCAGAAGGAACAATGGGCCACAAACGCATGAAGCCATCCCCCAGCTGGGATGGGGCACTTTCCCAGCTGCCTGGTGACAAGCAATCCACTCTCTGTTCGTAACCTTCCCCCAGGACTTGCCCAACCCTCCCGCCAAGCCCTAGGGACCTGGGCTTTGAAATAAGATGGAGCAGGGTTCAAATTCCAGCTATAACACTTTTTGGCTTGCAACCTAGGGCAGACCTCCATTTCCTCACCTGTAGAGTGGGTACAATACCAAGAGCTACTTCGGGGGCTGCCCAGCAGTTTAGGGAGATAATACAGGTGCAGGGCCTGTTGGATAGGCTGTACAGGGAGAAGTGGCCACCTCAGGGATCCTGCCCCTCAGCCCTGCCCTTCTCCCAGACCCCACCTGGACAACAGTCAGCCACTTCACTCCCCATCTCAATTCAGGCCTTTGATCACTCTCTTCAAAAATGGGTGAGCAGGGGCGCCTGGGTGGCTCAGTCATTAAGCGTCCGCCTTCGGCTCAGGTCATGATCCCAGGGTCCTGGGAGCGAGCCCCGCATTGGGCTCCCTGCTCGGCGGGAAGCCTGCTTCTCCCTCTCCCACTCCCCCTGCTTGTGTTCCCTCTCTCACTGTGTCTCTCTCTGTCAAATAAATAAAATCTTAAAAAAAAAAAAAATGAGTGAGCAAATTCGCACCCACCTACAGAAGCACCTGCAAGAAGGCTGGAAGCTGGGTAGGTAGAGGTTCCCAGTGCCTGCGCCAGGCCATGAAGACATCACTCCCCAACGACCTAGGACGGTAGCTCGCACCTGCCACAGGAGACCCCATGGTTCTGCTTGTTCCTTTCCCCTAGGAGCTCACAGAGTTCAAGCTGCACATCCTGCTCCCCTCTCTGAGCCTCAGTGTCTGTAGAAAGGGAGGTGGCAGTGCCTGCCCTCCTGGGATGTCACAAGGATCCACAAGGGACTGGGTAGTGCACAGAGAGGTGAGGGACCGAACACCCATGGGGTGTCACTGGGGGCAGCCGCTGACCATGACTGACAGGCAGCTGAGAGTGAATGAGTTGGGCCAACTCCCAGCCTGGGCTCTGAACTGCAGTCCCTTGCCGCCACTAGAGTGGAAGATTTTTTTCCCAAGCCCCCTGCTGACCTTGGTGAGGGAGCCAGTGGTGGCTTCCCTTAGAATCACTGTCCCTGCCTGGCCCAGCACCAGAAGGTGTGGGACCCGCTCCAATCTCTGGCCAGGCCAGCCCCAGGAAGGCCACCGGCAGGCTTAAGGCAGAGTGAGATCCACTGGGGCCCAGGAGCCGGTTGTAGGGGGCGCAGAGGGCAGTGTGGGGTCACAGTGGCCAAGGAAAGGGCCAGATGCACCTGCGGGACTCGAGCCACACCCTCCGCTCACCAGGCAGGGGCAGGGAGTGACCTCCTGGCAGTTAGGGCCAGCAGAGCAAAGGAAGGGGGCTTGTCTCCCAGCTGGTGGACAGCGCAGGCTGCGTGCGCCCATGTGCAGCCCGGATTTAGAAACGCCTGCCTCTGTGTGCGTGCTGTCAGCTGTGGGCACAGTCACGGGGCATGCTGGTGCGGTGCATCCTCATACCGACGTCTGTGGATGGATAGCACCTGTGTTGGCTGTGGCGGGAGTGTGCAGTGAGCGCAGGCACGGGCACCTGTAACCAGGCACGCAGTTTCTCTGCTTCTGCCCTGGAGGTTGCTGGGGAGACTGGAGGTGACAGGAGAGAAAGCACCTTTCAACGTGCCCTGTCGCCAGGCTCAAGGGGTTTCATGTCATCACCTCTGCTGATCCTTCTGGCACCCCTGGGAGATGGACCAGAAAGGGCAGGGGTGGCCCAGGCTCTGGGGAAGTGTGGCCTGGAACCACCCACGAGCTGACTCTGGGCTGCTTGTCCTTGAGGGTGAGAGAGAGACAGGAATCCACCTCTGGGTAGGGGGCGGTGAAGATAGACAGCAAGGTGCCAGCCCAGTATCTATTCTTCCTTACTCACAAGACCCTGATTTTATTTGTTTTGTTTTGTTTTTTGCCCGTCCTTCTTTCTACTTCCTGCTGCCTACACGTGCTGGCTGGAGCTCCAGCAGCCATGTTGGACTTTAAGGTAACCTCAAGAATGGGAGCCAGTGAGACAGATGGAGCCTGAGTCCCTGCTGACCATGGGGCCCCCGTGCCAGCCCTTTATGGCCTCCCTCCGGACTTCTGCATGACAGAGAAATGCAACCAACCTCGTTCAAACCAGATCTGAGCAGCCAGATCTAAGCCTGATGCTGCTTCTTCCTTCCCAAGCAAGACTAACATGTGAGAAGCTTGCAAGGCATCAGGACGGATTTTCTGAGTGCGAACTGTAGTCTGGGAACCGGCTTATTTTTCTCTCCCTCATTCTTCTTCACTTACTTATTCTTCAGCCTTCCCAACACCCTGCTACTATTTCTTGAACTCTGTCCCAGGCATTTTCCTTTGCCTTCTCTCTCTCCAACCTCCCAACCGCCCCGCAGAGTGGGAACTAGGAGCACGTGTCCTTATTCAGGGGCTCAGAGCCCTTTAGGAAGTTGCACTTCATTAATCACCTGAATGATTAAAAGATGCACTCATTGCCCAGCCTTCAAGCCTAAGGCACCACCTCCCAGCACTCAGCCTTCCCCCACCTCTCAGGGCTGTGGGCCCAGGCTCAGCGTCTGGGTCAGGCTCAGGGTCATGCTCAGGGTCAGGGTCAAGCTGCTCTGGCCCTTGCCCCGGGGACCTGACAAGCAGCACCAGCCACATGCCTGACCCCAAGCTCCTCCTCTGTCCAGCTGCTACCCCACAAACACCTAAAGCCTCTCTGGTCCAGAGGGGGCCCCGGACGGCTAGCCTCCCAGACTGGACACCCTGACACTTACTTTTTCAAAAGTGACCCTACAGGGGACGACAGCGCTTGAGGTCAAAGGAGGAAGCACAAAGCTCCCTTGGTCCAGGGCCACCCGCAGAAGCCCTGGCTCCCCACCCCTGGGCGAGAGCCCCCAGCCCCGCCGGCGCCTACCTTCGCCCGATGCATCCTGGGCGCTGAAGCAAACTGTGGCCGGCCTCCCCTCTTTGCCGCGGAGATCAGGACTGCCGCGCCGGCGGGCGGCTGCCTCATGTTGGCTTGGCCCCACACGTAATTGTTACGGGCGGCTCCTCGCCCGCCCCCCGCCCACCCCTCCCGCCCCGCCTGCTTCTCCCTGCTCCACCCCTTCTGCTCTGCCTCCCTCAAGCCCTCTCCCTCCCTCCCTGTCTCTTTGCCTCTCTCCCTCCCTCTCTCCTCCCCACCCCTCTCTGACGGATTCTCAGTCCCCCTCCCTGGCTCTCTGTCCCACTCTGGGTATAAACGGTTCTTAATCCTTCCCTCTGAGCCTGTTGAAGCCCCTTTGCCCGGCCCTTGGCTCTGGCCTGGCTCCTGTTGCAGGGCCCACGGCTCTCCCCCCTCCCCCGCATCCCCCCGCTGTCTGTCTCTTTCTCTAACACGCACACTCTCTGCTCGCCTACCTCGGGCACAGGAGGGTGGAGTGGTGGGTGCAGAGAGCTTCCACTGGGGGGAGGAGAGCCCCGGCACCCACGGGGTATTTGGAGGGGTGGGGGGGAGCCTGGAGAGCCTCCCCTGAGGCAGTTCCAGAACAGGCCAGCCCTTCCCCTCCCTGCTGCCCCCGACAGACAACCTCAGGCTGTCTTAGTCAAGATGGGCTGCAAAGAGGGATCTGGCTCCACCTAGGCCTGGGATCTTCCTGGTGTCCCTCCCGCTGCCCTGCAGACATCCTCTGGCCACCCCTGGTGCTGGGCATCCTTTCTGGGGACATCATTCTGGGTCTCTGGGTGGGAAATGGCCTCACTGATGGGAGCTCACCACCAGAAAGGGTGAAGCCGCCATGGCCACATTACTCAGGTCACACACAGGGGTGCTTCCAGCTTGTTCATCTGTCCCCCCGACTCTCAACTGCCTCCCTCCCACATGGAACCTTGCAGTGGGCAGCCCTCCCGCACTCCTTATATCCCAAGGCAGCCTGTGCCTCCAGGGCCTGTCATCTGTCCCCATGTGGGTCTGAGGGTGGGACCACATTAGGGAGGCTGAGGGACCTTGCCAGATCTCCTGGGGGTGGTGGTGCTGGAGGAAAAGGGTGAGGGCCCCTGAGTTTGGGAGAGGAATCCTTCCTGCCCCTTGGGAAGGCAGACTCCTGGCCATTTGCTCAGCCCTGGGAAACCACCCTGGAGCCAGGTGCCCAAAACCTCCGCCAAGTTTCCCTTTTCTGCACCCCAAGGAGCCAGCCTGTGCCAGTGGTTTCCATGGAAACAGAGCCAAAGACACCCCCCTCCTTCGCAGCATGCACAAGAGAATTTGCACTCCCTTCCTTTTTTTTTCTTTTCTTTTTTTTTGAGCCAGCCAATTAGCTCCAACTTTCAGATCCTCAGGGGCAGAAAATAGTCTGGAGTTGTTGACCCACTGAGGCAAGGAGGGCTGTTTCCAGGGCAGGAGACAGCCCGGGTGTCCTGTCCTGCTGGACAGGCTGGACCTCATGCTGGGAGCCCCAGAACAAGGGTGAGAAGCTGTTGGTCAGAGGCCAAGCTCTCTGGGGCCAAGTCCTTGCCCACTGGCCACCTCTGCTCTGAGCAAGCTCCCACAAGCAGGGACTCACTGAACATTCTGTCTTCACAGTGGCCTTGGGAGGAAAGTGTCATGATCTCACTTTGCAGATGATGAAAACGAGACCTAAAAAAGTTAAAGGATTTGCCCAGGGTCATAGGCCAGAAAGTGACAAAGCCAGTACACACAGCCTGTTCCTTTCATTCCAAAGTGACCATGTGGATAAGATCCCACCCTACCTCGCACGTTCCATGCATTAGCTAGGAAACCCCCACCACACCATCTAGGACAGGCCTGGCTTGACTCAGGGCACGATGTGAGGAGGCTGCACCCCAAAGAAGCGACTCCCCAGACCAGCACGGCCCTCTGCAGAATCACCCACCTGCTACTTGGGACACTCGCTGAACTTCCCCTACTCAGGATGCTTTCTTCCAAGGGAAGGAGCTTTGAGCTGCGACAAAACCGACAGCTGCCCTCCTCAGCCAAGCCCCAAGCCCATGGGCCTTGGGGACATCCCACTGCAGCTGCCATCAATGAGGTGCCCCTCATACAACGCTCATCTGGGATATGTGTGCCCCTGCCATGATCCTTGCCCCACTACAGGCCCCTTCCTGCCCCCCTCTAACTCCCACACCCTCAGGGCTTTTCCAGAGCCCCAGGCACTTCCAGCTGACTCCCTCACTGGGCCCTTGGGGGATGCAGGAATGAGAAAGGGCAGGAGGGAATGGAGGGGGAGGTGTCCAGGAGCAGGGCTCCTCACATGGGCCTCAGTGGGGCTGGGAGGCCCTGACAGTGGTGTGGGCCTGTGGGCATCAGCAAACTTACCCCAAGAGGGAGTCTGGGAGTTTCCCAAGATTCTTTGGCAGTGTATCAGATCCAAAAAAGGTTAGGAAAGGCTGCAAGAGAGCCTTACCTTGTGGGCTGCACACACTTCAGCCTGACAGGTTTCAGCTATGGTTTTCCTCACATTGGCAGTTAGGAGGGGGAGTTTGGAAGGGGGACAGGAAGGGATCCTTTCCTGTTTCCTTGTGTTACAACATTTGAGAGGAGACAGGGGCGAGCACTTTCAGCCGGCAGGGGGCCATCCTCTCATCCCCCCTTGGTGAGGGGCCCACACTACCTCCCCCCATGAGTCTTGGGTCTTCTGGGCCTTCCTCAATTGTTGCTCACGATCTTCTCCACTCCAGGCCCAAGTTCAAATTCCTCATCCTCAGGGACTCCAAACCTGGCTCCATGGAGCCCCCAGTCTGTATCCTTTTCCCGGGTCTTTTTTAGGGGGCCCTGGCTCTGCCTGCCCCTGGCCAAGCAGGGGTAGTGCAGGGGGAGAAAGAGAGAGAGAAAGATCCTCAACACGGTTTCCTGGTTTGGGCCCTCACTCCACCAAGAGCCTCTGCCTGTGAGGGAGGCCGCTCTGGGTGGAGATGGACATGGGGAGTCCTCTCCTCACAAGAGCTCAAGAAGTAGGTGTATGCGGCCCCCAAACAGCCTTCCTCCAGTGCCACAGCACTCGGGGATGTCACCGTGACGCTGCACCAGCACAGCTGTGGAATTGGGAAGTCACTGTCACTACTGATCCTTGAAATCTCTTCTTCTGCCCGCCCTCGGGTGGCGGGATGGACACCTGGCAGGCCCCGGGGAGCTGCTTGGTAGGGGGATGCGACGGTTCTCCATCCCCTCCCCTGGAACCACACAGGGTGACTGGTGGGTGGGGCCTGTGGCCCACTGGAACGGAGCTGCCCTGCAATGCGCTCTGGTGTGGGAAGCTTAAAGCTACGCCTCTCCCTCCCGCAGGCCCTCCACGGGCCCTCGGGGCCTGGCCACCCCCCTGACCAGGCTATTTCACGGGGGCCTCAGGGCACCAAGGAGCCTGGACTCCCTGTGGCGGCTCCACCTTCTGTCGCTGTGGTCTGTTCACGCTTGAGGCAGCCTCCTGGGACCCAGCCTGAGAGCCCACCGGACCCCCTCACACAAGCCCAGCCTGTCTCCGGCTCTCTAGAGTGTGCAGGTGAGATATCAGTCCACCCGATTTCTCAAACTGCAGGGGACACCAAGAAGCTCTCTCCGAAGCCCCCTTCCTTCTGGCTGGACGGGTGGGCATCCCAGCCCTCCCCTTGGGCTCCGCTCACCTCAAAATCTCCCTCCTCTAACCTCAACACCTGACTCTTGGGTATCCTCAGTGTGGTGAGGATTCAGGCCACCTAAATTCTGTATCACTCGTGGGCAGAGCCCGGGGCTGGGGTGGGGTCAGCTCTCAGCGCACGGCCCCCCTTTGTCCCCCAGGGTGCTGCGGTGTTCTGGCAGCATATGTAAGATGGGGGAATGCTCACTGCTCCGGGAGTGGCCCATCCAGGAAGGGCAAGGAGGGGTTGGGGGCCACAGGGAAGAGGCTTCAATCCAGCAGCACATGGTGTGTGGACCAGGCTGGCCACACCTCCCAGTTCAGTCCCTGGTGTTTAGGCCTGGGAGACAGGGCACCATGAGAGAAAAGTAGAGAGGTCCTGACTCTAGGAGGATGGAAAAGAGGGACACAGTCCATGACCCCGCAGAGCCAGAACACAGGCTGACCCCAGAGAATTCAGATACCACCGGAAACGCCACCATCATTGGTTGATGCCTCTGGGTAACTGTGCCCCTTCTACTCAGCTCCTATCCAGTCTCTGGGCCTTAGTTTTCTTTTTTTTTTTTTTTTTAAAGATTTTATTTATTTATTTGAGAGAGAGAGAATGAGAGATAGAGAGCACGAGAGGGAAGAGGGTCAGAGGGAGAAGCAGACTCCCCGCCGAGCAGGGAGCCCGATGTGGGACTCGATCCCGGGACTCCAGGATCGTGACCTGAGCCGAAAGCAGTCGCTTAACCAACTGAGCCACCCAGGCGCCCTGGGCCTTAGTTTTCTCAACCATAAAGAGGTGAACAACAGTGCTCGCATCTGAGGTAATTCATGTGAAGTGCTTAGCATACTTCCTGGGTTCATTCTCAGAACTCAATAAATGTTAACTGTCTTTGTCCCCCCAGGTGGCCTGAGCGGGCCGCTTCCCACACAGCCCTTCCTCTGCACACTGGAGCCAGCTGGAACTGCCCTGGCCAGCCACCTGGGACCTCAGAAGGCCCAGCCCATGTGGCATTTCTTTGGCGGAATCTGGGCCTTTGCTCTGGGATGGCCAGGCTGGAGCATCTGGCATGTCCCAGGGCCTTCAATCTGTCATCCCTGCTGCCACAGGGACAGCAAGGACACTTGGACCAAATCTCCTTGGAGACAGGGCCTCCCTCCCACACAGCCCTGGGGAATTGAAACTGGCAGCGTGCCCAGAAGGAAAAGAAGGAAAGGCCACCGGAACCAGAGGACCTGAATCCAAAGCCTGGCTGGGCTTCGACTTGTGAGACCTTGACTCTGTCCCGTAGCTTTCCAGAGCTTCGTTTGCTCAATGGTGAAACAAGCATGAAAATCCCCACCGCCTTGAGGGAATGTCATGAAA